CGAGCTCGACGAGCACACCGTCAGAGCTGAAGGAATCGCGAAGAAGGCACAGGAAAGTTATGTACACCGTAACTGCTCTCTCGTTTGGTACAGCAGCACTTGGAACTACGATGATGGCAGCTCTGCAGAACGATGGCGATCGGGATGATGTCAAGGTAAGCTTCTGCGATGTCACATGTATCCATGAAAACTTTTCATGAAGCTATCTTTTCAATGAACTTTTCAAAAGAAAACTCTTCATGAAAAGCACATTGAATAGAAAACTTCATGAAAAGTTCATTGAATAGAAAACTTTATGAAAACTTTCACTGAAAAGCGTTCTTGGTCGGTCGCCTCTGTGGTGCCGTCTGGGACGTTCCCATTCCACAGATTCTCCAATCACCACATGCCCGCTTAGCTGGTATCTTCCTCTCGGCCATGAGTCTCAACTTTGCTCTTTCTCAAGGACTATTCGGAAAGTTCGATAAGTAAGTCCACTAGCAACTACGGTGGATCGCATTTCACTATGCTCAGGTCGAAGCGTGATCTCCATATGTACATTGGATACGCTATAGCCTTTGGAGCACTCGCTCAGTGGATGTCGGGCATACGCCTCCTCTTGGCATGAAATGTCCGTATATTTTCCCTAATGACGATTTCCGACCCGTCACTCGTTGTGTTAGCAGTACGACTATGAGGGTTGATCGCTATAATAACAACAGCAAAGTTTGCTGTTGTTACTATTTGTGTTATTATTATTGTCCATGATACTCTTTAATCATTGTTATTATTTGTGTTCTTCCATCATGTTATCATGCTTCTAACATGGATCATGTTGCTCATGTTGCTCAGCAAACACGATGAAAGAATAACACATCATGAAAAGTCTCACTTGTCCATCATTCTGATCCTGGTATATCTCCTACAAACACCTAGCGACTATTTTCCTCTCCAGTGAAAGTGACATAATTATCACACGTAAGTGCTTTCATTTGAGGTCGTCATCATCCCGGATGTCCATGCCTACTATCACCACTATCTTTCATCAGACCTGTGAATATTTTCGAATGTAACCTAAATCATCATTCGTTCTCAGTACAGCATTGGAGTTTCACAACCTGTTTTACGCGAAGTGGCGTAATACTCTGTGAAAAACGCGATATTCGCGATATGCAGTAGTCGTAAGGTATATTTTTCACTAGTGTTTTCCATATCACGGGTAGAACACTTTTTTGAAAATCATTATTGCTCTCGAGTTCATATCGGTGTGCTGGTTTCGACATGCGTTAGAGAATCACTAAGGCAGCCAGATGATAAGGCCGACTGTGCTATTCTCATCTTCGTATGTCGTTCTGCTATCTCGTTAGCGTTACTTGCACGACGTATTAATCGTTGCTGTATTTCAGTGTTGAAATATATGTTCACTTTCCTCAGCTGAGCCCAGGAGTTTCCTCACTAATCACAGGAGTTAATATACGAACTGGCTTAGAAGTATACAGAAACCAGCAGGAATTTCGCAGAATTTCCTCAGCATATTCATATTTCCACCAACACATGTGGTTGACCATGTGTAAATTCAACCACAGTGCTGTACTACTGGAATTGCGACGTTAGTTTATCACCTAGTACACTACGCGGCGCCTGCATGTCGTCCATTACGGCCAACCTCACTCAAAAACACAACAAAATATCCTCAAAATATAAACGATCATAACAAGTGGTCATATCAGATAGAAAGACAATAGTGTATCAGAGACCATGGGAGTACCGTCACCACCTCTATTCAGCGGGGGCAACTCCGGCCACTCACACTACGAATTAAGCCCAACCTCTCAAACTGAGAATCGTCTCAGAAGGGGCTCTCGGATGTCCCATTCGACTGAAGAGTCCGAGAAATTATCAATAGGCGTCTTCTCATCCAAACCATCTTCAGCAGGTGGAGGCGCCACAGAGCTCAGTGTGACGCCCAGCAGGATTACTACCATACCAACCATTTGGGAAGGACAAGGCAGTAGACCGTCGATAGCAAAGTTGAGCCCGAGAACCACTATAGAGTTGGCCGAGACCACTACATTCACCAGACTGGTACAGGGATATGATAGAGCCAAAT